CATTACATTGCATTTAGCTGACGCTTCTATCCAAAGCGATTTACAATAAGTGCATTCGACCAACAAAATACAAACTTGAAGAAAACAGAATCATATAAGTACATCAGGTTTCATAGAGCCAAACCATTTCAAGTGCTACTCAACAGGCTTTAGATAAGCCAGTCCTTTATTAGTATATAAGTGCTTTGTTAGTATATAAGTGCTTTGTTAGTCATTCTATCGCTTGAGGTGGAGTCGAAAGAGTCAGTCTGCGCCGGGAGATGTGTAAGCTTTTCTGCTGTCCTGATGTCAATGGGGAGCTCAGTCCACCATTTTCGAGCCAGGATAGCAAACCCACGTGTTTTTGCTGATGGGAACTTGGGTCCCCCTCGCAGTATTTATTTATTTATTCATAGAAGGACCATGCATACAAATCTCAGCAAAGAGAATAGATGCAATATGCCAGATTATAGCTAATGGCTAATTTCCACCTGTGGTCCAGTGCGGGTGCAGCGAGCTGTTTGGCTGATGCAGAGCGGAGTGCACGTGCTGGGGTGTACGGTTTAACCATGTCCTGGATGTAGGAAGGGCCAGATCCATTCACAGCATGGTACGCAAGTACCAGTGTCTTGAAGTGGATTCTAGCAGTTACCGGAAGCCAGTGAAGGGAGCGGAGGAGCGGGGGGGTGTGGGAGAATTTAGGAAGGTTGAAGACCAGACGAGCCGCTGCATTCTGGAGGAGCTTGCCAACCATTCATTCATCAGGCAGCACAATGTAGGAGAAAAAGTGCTTTTGTAGGATGTGTTTATTCTTTTAATTATCATTATTAGTTGTTTGGACTGCACATTGTACATCACTTCTGGCAATTGTCACCTGGGTGTGGTCTCTTGGTACTTAGTTTGCCTATTTAAAAGTATATGGGCTGTTTTTAAACTATCAAGGTAAACTAGTCTATGCTTTAGTGATAGCTTTTTTATTTAACATTTTCAACTTCAGCACAGATTATTGTTCAGCGTGTCACAGTAAAGAGCCTTTTAGTGACTTCTTATTGGAAGTCTAGTCGCTAAACACAATTTATTAAGATTTCTGCAATGATTATTTCACTGCTGCACATACGTCTGATTATATGTTCCTATTAACCCTTTAAAATCACATGTTCTTCTCTATCCTCTGCAGATCAGAACAGGAAGACTCTGAGCCAGTTGGACTCTAAATCTCAGAGTCTTCATCAGCTTCGTGTTTCAAACTGAAGCATGTGTGGAAACAAAACTGATGGGACAAGTTTCCCTTGATTGAACTCTTTATTGAAGAGCTGCTGGTGGAAACTCCCCTGAAAACTTTCTGATCTAACGGACCTGAGATTCACAGAGGAAGTGAAAATAGAATCAGGAGGATATTTAATGATGATTCTGCTTTTTTTTTTTAAACATTCAACAAATAATTTCTGTTCACCACACTGAAATAAGAGACGAATGGAGGCAAGCCGCACATAGCATCAAGCAAGTCATCCATCACAGAGAAAATGCTAAGTTGTCTTTTTTAGACTTCTCTCTGATTGTGAGTCCATGAACTGTCCTCTGTGGTGAACCTCGCCCATCTGGCACGAAGGAAGCCGCAAAACAAATGAAAACATATTCCCAAATGCTGTAAAAAATACAGTTCAACATCGGAGGAGGATCCACTGCTTCTTCTTCATAAATCTGAAGAATGGACAGAGATGAGTGCTGCTTCAGATCTCAAGGGTTGCCTTCTTTACTCATTAAACTGAATTTTGATTTCAGTCGTGTGCTCATTATTTATACCATGTGATCACTCAAAAGTAATTGTTAAAGACATTTTTACAAAAGATCTAAATAGTTTCAATAATAATTTGACGGTAATTAATAATCGATTTAATTCTAAAGTGTTACAGAAACTACTTATTACAATTCAATGATCTAATGTTACTAAGACGACTTGATCAGGTTGCCTTTGTTGAACATGTATTTTACTTGAGTCTTTTCATGCCAATTTTACTTCTACTAACCCAAAAATATAACAATATAATATATACTATTTTAAGTATTGTTTTAAGGGGCATTTGTTTGCTTTGAGTACACACAGTCATAACAGAACAGTGTAGTTTTACATGATGTTTTGCAATTGCTAAATTGTTTTAACTAGGCTATGTACATAGTATGTATAAAACTATTAATTTGGCTTTGGCTTTGATTTCTAAAAAGTGTGTGGGTTACAGGTGTTCTCACATGTGCAGGTGATAAATAATCGACTTTGGTATTTTAATAGCATTTTTCAGCAAGCAAGTGTTCATTTCAAATTGAATGTGAAGCAGTAATTGTGTTGATGGTTACCATAGCTTTAAAAAAGGCGGTATTTTGGCGCCACCCAGCGGTGAATCACATCCGGTACAGCGTCTTCGTACTTCCGGTTCTCGAATCAACAAGGAAGTGCAACCGATGGATGAGAAACGACGTAACGTCTTCTCCTTTTCCTCACCATAAACCCGTCAGATTTCACCGGTTCTTCCCCTCAGGACGGTCCCTGGTAACTCTCCTGTCGTCATGGCGATGTCCATGTTCCAGAAGGTGACCCTCGCGACGTGTCTCGTGCTGTGCGTCGCGCTGCTGATGCCCAAAATTCTGCTGTCTCGCGGGAGGAAGGATGGTGCGGATCGGCCGGACGGTGCGTCACATTTAACGGGTTATTTATGTCTTTAACTCGATGTGTGGTGGATATTGACACGGAGGATTTAATGTGTACGATGTTATGGTTTTAAGTATGTGATTTAAAGAGTTTTTATTTCGTGAATTAGGCCACTGTGTGTGCTGAGCATCACCGGTGTATCATCGCTCTTGTAGTTACACTTTCCTCCCTGGAGGGGGCGCCAAACACACCTGAGTTAAATGTGTAGACACATTAAGGTTCAAGGTTGGTTTTTTTTATAGCACATTTTAAGACACGGAGGCAATTTAAAGTGCTTCACATAGGCATGTTACACATACTAATTAAAAATGAAACAAACAGAGAATTCATAAAAGCGATAAAATAATGGTTGCAGCTGAAAGTGCAACGATAAGGCACGGTTAAAGGATCTCATAACCAAATTTCAGGCAGTTTGTTCCAGGCTTGTGGTTCATAAAAGCTAAAAGCTGCCTCCGCTAATGTAGTTCTGACTGGGGAGCAAACCCGCTCCTGATGATCTGACCATTAGATAAGAACAACTTTATCGATACCCAGCGGGGAGTTTAATTATACTCAATTAGAACAAGATTATTAAAATAAGATAAATGTGGTATTTCAATACCAAGCAAAAATACATTATTTTTTCAAGGCTTTTATTGTAATTCATACATAGCTACAGTGTAGTTATGACGATGACAATCTTAGGTCCCAGGCTCCTCCAACAGTGCAACACAATAAAACAGATACAATAGTACAAGTAAATACAATAACATAGCATAGAAGTAGTGCCATAAGAGTCTATATACAAGTGATACATCATTTGTAAGTTGCAAACAGGTGAATGTTGTGGATGTTCTTAGTTCAGTCCATTAAGATCTTGTTTACAGGCCTTTAAAAACTCTCAAAACATCTCTTGTCCCTTCACAGATTACCCAAAACAGTCCTGATATGTATCAATGTTAGATAACAAATGTTTGTATATGTGTTGATATTATTCCATATGTTTCATCATATGGACCTCCTCACCCTGCAGGTGGGGGTAACTTTCCTCCTAAGGTAAACCGCCAGGCGGCCCCTGAGGGTCGGGGTCAGAAGTCGGCCTCCAGCTTCTCCAGAGCTCAGAACACCGAGGCCAACGCCCGGGCCAAAGGAGCAGGAACCGGGGCCGGGACGGGGGGGAAGTCCAACCTGGCCGGACAGATCATCCCTGTGTACGGCTTCGGGATCTTACTCTACATCCTCTACATCCTGTTTAAGGTGAAACACTGCAGAATCAACACCATGCCTGATTTAATAAACTCAAGAGACAGAGTTGGCATAAAAAACACTTTTTATTAAATGTTGTAAATGTAATCCTGTGCATGTAAAACTAAAGTTGTTACATTTCTACAAAGACAAGACTATTCCAGCACACAGTAACAAATCCAACGTGTGTTAATGTAGTGAACATGTTTTAGGTGAGCTTTAAAGGTGAGTGTAAGTTGTATTGTAACGTTTAGTGGCTTATGGTTAAAGTTCAGTTTTGAGAGTGGTATCAATCTTCTTAGATAGCTCCAGTGTCCCCGTCCCCCCCCCGGCAAGAAAAGCCAAAGGCCCCTTAACCTATTCGGGTGGCCCACGCGTCCACCCCCCCCCTCAAATAAGAACATACATCTGTGGGGTTTATTCTCCCAAAAATATAATTTACAATGTAGGCATTTAGCAGACGCCTCATTCCAAAGCGACTTACAATGACCAATCACAGGGACGTTCTCCCTGGAGTAACTGAGGGCTAAGTGCCTTACTCAAGGGCACACTAGTGGTGGTGCTCCAGGTGGGATTTGAACTCGCAACCTTCCGATCATCAGCCCACCTCACTATCCATTAGATTAGATCACCAAAATACAAATTATTGTTACACAATGAAATCAATGTATGGGAAACACTGGGAGAGGTATATTAGTGAAGTGTGAGTCATTCCTTAATCCAGCACCTGAAACAAGAGCAAGTGTAAATCACAAACTGCACTAAGCATCAAATACTCTACAAGTCGTTCACAGCAGGAGTTTGATTAAAATAGCTTCAGTCTCTCCTGTCCCCCCCCCCCTGGTGTTTAGCTGCAGCTCCCAGCTGATCTCCTTAAGTCACTGGTGGGGGGGGGGGGGTGGCCTGTCTGTGTCTCCACTGCTACTGGTGCACTTGACCCACAAAGTACAGAAATAAACTGGTTGGCTACTGACTTGTTCCCTAAGGCTTGAATCCTTGAATGTTCAGGACCGTTATCCCCCCCTCCCCCCCCCCCGGAGTTGAAGGTGCTGCACATCTCCACACATCATATCAAGTAAATAGCTGTTGAAGATTTACAGATATTAACACCTGTAAATAAGTACATTTATCTTCAAAAACGAAAAAGCTTTGATAAAAGTTTTCACACCCTCCTCAACCCTGTGTGACATTTACACCGCGGTGAGAGGAGGCAGTGATTAAACCGGGTCACTCTGAGTTATAAATAGAGCTTCAACATTCTTCACTTTGCAACATGCAGCCCACTGTCGCACTGCAGCTGCTTCCACTGTAATCTCCCAACACCTCATCAACACGGGGAGGTGTCTGTGGGGTCAGAAGTTGCTCTTTATAAAGTGGAAATCGGCGCATTTATAACTCATAATGGTGATTTAATGGAGTTCACAGTGTGTTCCACTTATTTTAAGTGGAAGAAGAAGCTCAAAGTGTATCCTTAAAGGCCACCTTGAATAGAACAACACATTTTCTCTCCTGTCACTTTTAGCTGTTGAAAACATATAGAAACAGGAAATTATAAAAAGTATTTCCAGCATAGGAACTGTGCACATTGTACCATTCCTTTGCCTTGATATATCCTCACAAAGTTCCTTTAAAGTAAATCGTTTTTTGTTGTAATCTGGTCTTCTTATTTTTGCATGAATATTCGAGAATCATAGGAGGACACAGAATTATAAGATAAGGACTTCATTCATCCCGAAGGTTACTATATATAATAATAAAACTGTTCACTAACAGTGCAGTAAAAAGAGAAATTCAATAACTACAGGAAACATAGGTGGTCACATCATTAATGTAAATATTAACAGCATTAATTATGATTAAAATGATTAGAGATATCCCGATCCGATCACGTGATCGGGGATCAAAGCCGATCACGTGATTTTGAAAAGATCGGAATCGGGAGAAAAAAAATCGGGGATCGGGATTTTTTTTTTTTTTGAAATACTTTTTTTTTATTTTGTATTTAATGTTACAAAACAAAAATGACCATGTTCAAGTCTTAAAGTCATCCTGAGGCCTTAGTTTTGGTTTCAAATTACAGAACATCATGTATGTGTTGCTTCTTTGGGGCTTGTTTTCATAGACCTGGTTGCTTATTTCTCTCAAATCTGGCAACAGAGTGGGCGCAGTGTCTAATTGTAGCAGTAAGCTAACGAGTACTGAAAGCTTTATTTTGTTTTGATCCAATGCTGCACAACTGAACTGATCCAATGCTGCTGTGAAAGAAAGAAGCTATATCCATGTTGGATAGAATATCCAATTTAAATAAAAAAATAACCTTAAGGGACAACTTGAATGCTTTTTTTCTCTTAATGCATTGCATAAAGATCGGATCGGGAAAAATCGGTATTGTCAAATTGTAATGATCGGAATCGGATCGGGAGCAAAAAAAGGTGATCGGGACATCCCTAATAAATGATACATCCGTTTGAATGACACTTATAGTTCAGAGTAATTAACTGTTAAAAACAGACAGTTCGCATTTTTTTCTCCAATAAATGGATGTTTTCAAATTAAATGGATAATCGTTTTTAATAATCGTGATATCAATTATTGACCCAAATAATC